ACCTTGACAACTGGTGCATCGTGCTATTTTACGTGATTTCTTTTCATCTATGGCTTGGATTTAGTATACTGATTAACATATATTCGTTTCACAATGTGTTTGTATCATATGTTTTCGTTTCACAATGTGAAACTTTTTAGTCGTATTTTTTGTTTCACAAACACATAAAAAATGTTCACATTGTGAAACGAATATATGTTAAACAAACACATTATTAAAACAAATATATGTTAATAAATACACTAAGTCCAAGCCATAGATAAAAAAAACACGTGAAGTCCCATACGATATATCGGTTCTCAAGATTAACATAATTTCTTGGGTTCTCAAATGAACGCCCCCTCTATATATATACATTAAAACACATGGATGCTAACACGGGGGCGGTGTCCTCTTCCTCATAACTCCGTCGAGAACGATGTCTTCTTCCTCTAATAGAAGATCTAAAACATGCAGTTTATATATATATATATATATATATATATATATATATTAACGTTTATATAAATTAGAGCTTACTCTAGTTTATATTTATACTAACGTCTGTAAGTTCATTAAAAATTTTACTTTTGTATTAAAGTTTTGTAAATCTCTATGTATCAAGTTTTTTTTGTTTTCATTTTTAATCATTTATTAAAATATTAGCATATTTATAAAGTCACACCTTACTTTCTTCTAGAGTTATGACGAAATATCCTGACTTAGCGTCATATAAAACAATAAAAACAGCTTATCACATTACAACAAAAGACTTAAACAATTTAAGCATTTGAATTACAAGTTTACAACCTGATAAGCTGAAGGAAGTGACATGGCTTAATATAAATAGACCATACTTGTACTTAAAATGAGTAACATGGCTTGATCATGAAATGAAAGGTACTATTAATAAGCTTAACGCTCAATCAGTCCCACCATACATATGAAGGTTATTTCATAGATTTGTCAACATTTAAACCATATATATATATATATATATATATATATATCCGTATCTTTGGCCTCCTAGGAAGTCAACGGTTTAAGCCTCACAAAAAGTGAGGAGGGTGTGTGAGTTTATTCGTTCCATTTGCCTTGTATAAATGTTATATACTTCAATATATATATATATATATATATATAGAGAGAGAGAGAGAGAGAGAGGGGGGAGGAAGAGGAGGAGGTTTACTTTACAAACCATCAATTTCATACAAACCTTTACAAACTAATCACATCCATCCATTTTTTTTTATGAAAGATCAAGATTGAAACAAACTAAATAGGTAAAGTAAAAAAAAATCATATTGGAGATACGGAAGGGCAAAATGGGGAAAAACATGTTCTATGAACCTGTTTCATTACAACTGTTATACGTATAAACCTGGTGCAATCATATATGACCTATGAACTTATTTCATTACACCTGTTATACATATGAACCATATGCAATCATATATGACATATGAACCTTTTTCATTACAGTTGTTATACATATGAACATGTTTCATTACAAACTGTTATACATACCTATGAATATAAACTTTGTTTCATCACAGTTGTTATACATATGAACATGATACAATCATAAATGACTCTGTTTCATTAAACAGCTTTTCTCATTGGAGATTACCCCGTCTCATTGATGTTAGTAAGTATCTATTAAATATTTACCGGTTTCAAAATTATTATAAAAACAAATTGATTGATCATTTCTTAAAAAAACCCTAATATATATATATATATATAGAGAGAGAGAGAGAGAGAGAGAGTTTGTTTCAAATACAACATATCACATTTGTACAACCAATGCAACCCAATAAATTGACATATTTAAAATAGAAATGATGAGAGTTCATTTATTATGATTTGAATATTTATGGAAGATGAACATGGTTCATCAATTATGATCAATACTTTATATTAGGAAACAATCAAAACTTCTATGAAATCACATATTAATCAAATGAAATGGACGGTTGAGATTGAGTTGTATTGGTTGCACAAATGTGAAGGGTTGTATAATAACCAAC